ATACACACACAGACACACATTCACAAATTATTATTTTTTAATAAAAAATTGTCCACCCAGCCTCCCTACCTGGAGAGCTGGCTTGGACTTGTCCCTGGGGTCCAGTGGGTCGGGCGCCTATCTCCATACAACAAGCGACGAGGGAGCTATGTGCTCTCTACTTCCTCTCGCCGCGCGGGCTGTTGCTGTAGCTTGGAGCCGAAATATGATGTCATATTCTGGCGCCCTCCATCAGCAAATGGCGCGCGGCGAGAGGAAGCAGAGAGCACACAGCTCCCTCGCTGCTTGTTGTATGGAGATAGGCACCCAACGTGGGGGGTGTTGCCCGACGGGGGTGGTGTCCATCACCTCTTGCTCCCCCCCTCCCCCCATGACAGGGGGAACAAGGGGAGGAGGAGGGCATTTGGGGGAGGCAGAGTGCCTGCAGGAACAGCGGGAACGGTGTTCCCACGCGTTCCTGCAGGACTGACAGGTGTGCCGCAGGGATTAGGGTGTGCCCAGGCACACCCAGCACACCCCGTGCGCACGCCTATGTCCCTGACACTTCTAGCACTTCAGCTGCCAGGAGCCGACATAAGCATTGCCCTCTCACCGCATGTGCAACAGTACAACACTAAGGTCTATGGAAAATCCCACAAGTCCATGGTATCCTTCATAGACAGGACTTAGCATAGGAAAAATACTAAGACAAAGCAGTTCCTGAAATTCTCACAGTAAATGTGCGTATTTCTTAAATACTTTATCTTAGTATAATACTCATTTTGAAAGTGTGGTGGGGCATGTCCAGTTTAAGCATATAATTCTATCAAACAAAAATATTTGCCATCCTTGTCCGGGGCTGGCCCAATATATAAAAACATCACTCTCTAATGCATCACCTACATAAAAGAACTCCACTCCCGTTATGACATAAAAGTATACTTCCTTTGCTTCATCCTCTCGCCATACACACTGTCACCCCCTTCCACACACACCGTCACCTTACACACACACCGTCACCAACCACATAATATCACCCCCTAGACACACACTGTCACCCACCCCTCACACACTGTCACCTTCCACACATAGTCACCCCTTCACATACAGTGTCACCACTCTCACACACAATCACCCATACACAGTCATCCCCCCCATACAGTCACCCTCACACACACACACACTCACAGTCACCCCAACACACACACAGTCACCCATTTACAGTCACCCACACAAACACAGTCACCTCCACACACACAGTCATCCTCATACACACACACTGATACCCTCTCACACACGCAGTCACCCCTACAGTCACTTGCCCTCACACACCCACTGTCAGTTCCTTCCACACACAGTCACTCTCACATACACACTGTCACCCCCACACACACAATGTCACCTACACGCATACTGTCACCCACACAGAGTCAACCCCTTCATCCTGCCACACTTACATTAACCCCCCGATACTGTCACACACACACACATTCCAACTCTGCCACACTCCCCTATCACATTAACTCTCCCTAATCCTGGGACATTCACTTTCTCTCACACTGTCACACACATTCTCCATCACTCTGTCACCCTCATCCACATACACTGTAACCCCCACACACACCGTTACCCTCACACACTGTCAGCCCTGCCACACACACTGTCAGCCCTGCCACACACACAGACACTCTCTCTCACACACACACACACTGTCACCCACACATACACAGACACTTTCACACACACTGTCATCCCCACTCATACACTGTCCCACTCACCACCCAGCCCTGTCACACACCTCTTCCATCACTCTGTCACCCTCATATATACACCCTTACCCTCAAACACACACTGTCAGCCCCTCACATTCAGTCTTAGCCCCCACACACTTTCAGCCCTGCCCAACCATGTCACACTCATCCTCCATCACTATGTTACACTCACCCCTCTCCACCCTGCAACACTCACCCGGTAAACAGTCACCTAAATTGCCTTAGGGGGCCCGGCAGCTTGCCCTTCATGCCACCGGGTGCGAGGCACCGCCTCCTAGTTTGCCCAGAGGGAAAGTCAGCCTTCAGTCTGCAGCTCTGCCAGGATGTGGTCTGCAGCTCACTTCTGGTGGAGCTGCAGTCCAGAAATGGAGCCCACCAGATCACCATGGAGAGACACACTGGACCACCATGGAATAATGGCAAAAAAGGTAATTCTCTTCTCACAGCCCCCAAACCCACTCAAAGCTCCCTAACCCTCTCATAGCCCCTCTACCCTCTGACAGCCAATCATCCTCACAGTTACCCTCTACCAGCCCATCACCCTCTCACAGTCCCCCTCTCACAGCCCTCCACACACCTTCACAGCCCCCCTACCCACCTCACAACCCCCTAACCCTCTCACAGCCCCCCTACCCACTAAGACCCTGTCACAGCCCCTCTACCTTCTCACAGACCCCCATCTTCTAACACCCTCACAGCCACTCACCCTGGCACAGCCACCCCCATCCTGTCAATCCACACAAACCTTGTCACAGTCATCTCCACGCTGTCTCCCTACTCACCATCACAGCAACTCCCAAACACTCTGTCACATGCCCCCACACAAAACCCTGTCACAGCCCCCTCACACACCCTGTGACCTCTCCACACACACACACACCCTCTATCCTCTGACAGCCCATCATCCTCACAGTTACCCTCTACCAGCCCATCACCCTCTCACAGCCCTCCACACACCCTCACAGCCCCCCTACCCACCTCACAATCCCCTAACCCTCTCACAGCCCCCCTACCCACTAACACCCTGTCAAAGCCCCTCCACCTTCTCACAGACCCCCATCTTCTAACACCCTCACAGCCACCCACCCTGGCACAGCCACCCCCATCCTGTCAATCCACACACACCTTATCACAGTCATCCCCACCCTGTCTCCCTACACACCATCACAGCAACTCCCAAACACTCTGTCACATGCCCCCACACAAACCCTGTCACCTCTTCACACACACACACACACACACACACACACACACACACACACACACACACACACACACCCTGTCAATCCCTCTTAATCTTGTCACACTCCCTCCTCCAAACATAGCACATTCAACCGAAACCTATGATACACCCCCCAACTATGCCACCCTCACCCTGTCACATTAACCTCCTCCAATCCTGTCTACCTTCCTCTTCTAGCCATGTCACAACCCCCATCATTCTCACCCTCCCTTATTCTGTCACACTCACCTTCCCAACCCTGCCTCATTTACCCCCCTCACCATGTCAAACTCACCTTGTCACACTCACCAACTGAAGACATTCATCATTCGCACACACACAAACATGAAAAGTAGCTGTGCCGTAACACAATGCACAAAGGCCACAGGCAGTCCCCATTAACACAACACACCGCAAGCAGCTACCCCACACACATAGGTCCCATACACATGCTCACAAAGACATATATTCACACACAAGGATACTCTCTGTCAGACACACTCTTTCAGGCACATACACAGGTAGACAATGTCAGACACACTCAAAAATACACACACCTGCACTTATGTATACACGACTGCCAGGCTATGTAACCATACCCCACAATCGTGTATAAATGATTAGCATAATTGCTAATTACATTTATTACAAATTATTTTGATAGCAAACTATGTCATAACTTCGGTCAGAGAGCTCACAATGCAGCGGCACAGGGATCTGCGACACTGCAAGCCCCTTGAACAATGAATACAAAGACTAACTCTCTGTATACAGAGACTAGTTCTCTGTATTCAACTCTGCAAGCCCATCCTTCAATATAACTACAGCACCTTATACACACACAATGAACCCCTATACATTTTCATTGTGGGTGTTAGTGGGGGCATCATGTTTGAGTTTCGCCTAAGGCCTCACAAAGTCTAGAGCCGCCACTGTGGGAGCAATATGGCAGGATTGACACAAATGGGCATGCACCAGATATTATTAAAGGCTTCCTGTAGACATAAATTCTCTCATGCGCCGAGCAGGCAGTGTCAAATGATACAAGTGAGTGTGAAAGGTAGTGACCGTTGGCTTCAAGATCATAGATACCACACAAATCAGTAGGTATCATTAATGTTACACCCCTCTTGAAGAACAACCATTTGCCAGAGTGAACCAGGTCTGTCAGGAAAATGGGGATGGAATGAATGGATCAGGGTGTGGAGACAGGAACCCATGACTGCTCCTCCAGACCATACCCCTTACAGTGCAAAAGATTTTGGAGGGGGCAAGATATCTCTAGCCCCTATGTGAGGGGCTAGACCTGACCTTTAACTTGCACAGGAGGTGTCAGTAATTGGTGTACCGAGTACATAGCAAAGGCTAGAGCAAGGAATCGTGAAAGACATTGGGGATGCAGAGCCTAGAAGGAAGAGTCAGCACATATAATACAGGATTGATATGTCTAATGACTTTATAAGGTCCTATGTATCAAGGGGCCAGTCTGTGAGAGGTTACTCAGCAATGGATGTTGCACCCCTTACTTGGTATACACTGCAGTGCCTGTTACGATAGTGCTTATTTTAATTAATACATCGTTATGGGGAGTGTTTAGTGTCTTCATGCAGAGCTCCATACTGTGCAGCGCTTACCCATCTGAGTGACTGCCACTTGAGGTGTTACTAGGTAGCAATTTAAACACAGCCTTTTCTCTGAAAAGGCAGTGTTTACATTGAAAAGCCTGTAGGGACTGGCTGTGCTCACCATCTTACATTAAGCTGCAGTTTTTTTGGTGACTCTAGTGTCCCTGTAATGGAAGAGTATAGCTAATAAATAATATAAATCAGTTATCAGCAATACTAAAACCAAAAGTACTCTTTATATATGTTTAATAAAGATGACCAATAGAAGGAGCTCACCTCATTTCAATTCACACTGGGAGTATTTGGGGATTGGCACCAAGGATGTTGGGAAGATGCAAGATGCATGCCAGAACATGTGGAAAATGCGCAGAAAATTATTACACATGGGGATGTTTGGATATGGAAGGTGAATGTGGGGAGATGCTTCAGAAAAATGTGTGTGTGTGTGTGTTACGGTGGCCTCCAGGCTAGCTGAAAGTTGGACCGTAGAAAGGATGCTCCTAGCGCTCACCAAAGGACCATCAGCACCGTAGACACCCTAAGTACTGCAGACTCCACGAACCGCCCCTGCTGGGCTGGGATCTCGTCGTCTGTTATCCACCCTGGACCTATGACCAGGCTCCAGGTTCCAGTGGATGAACCTCTGCCTTCTGTAGAGCTCTTACAAGAGCTCAGTAGCTAAGGGAGTATGCAGAGCATAGCAATCCCTGTAGTGATTATAGCTGTCCCCTACAAACACGAGTCGAGGCTGCGAGTTAGAGGGTCAAGTACTTCTCTTTTGTAATCAGCCACAAAGGGCCTTCTTTTATGCAGGTTTTACACATACAGTACCGCCCACAGGGTTTTATAAAACAACCAATAAAACACGTAATATACAGTAAAACACTCCCATTCATTCCCACAAAAATCCTCCCCTCTGCCTGTGATATAATTACTGTACACAATGTACAGGCAGGAAAAATATACTTTTTACACATGTACTGTAACTTTAAAACTATACATCCAATCTCCATAAAAATATATTCTTACTCAGCATACTTCAAATATAAAGATGCTCAAAAATCATACAAATCCTTCCAGTAGATAAAAAGTTAGTCGGAAGTCCTTTGTGACCGACATATTTTCCTGCACAAAACAGTTCCACAGGTTTGGGCTGTGCGGTCGGTCAATTTTACACTGAAAAAATGACTAAGTCCTATTCGCATGCACGAACGGGGCACCATTCGTGCAAATAGCTTAGTCTCACTGTATGTTCAAATAGCCGAACGGGACTTAGTGTGGTACTTGGTTCAGTAAGCCCCATTTACTGAATCAAGTAGGAAAAGGGCACAAACAAAGTGTTTTAGGGGACTGGGGACAAAGACGGTTCTTAAAGGGCCATACACACTAGGTCCATAGTCATGGGGCAGAAGGCTGGCAATGAGGCTTCTCCATAATACAGGGAAGCAGGGCAATTTTTGGCATAAAATAAAAGTTACGGAAGGTGACTGTGTGTGTGGAAGGTGACTGTGTGTGTGGAAGGTGACAGTGTGTGTGTAGAGGGATGACATTATGTGGAGGGTACCTTTTTCTTAAATGCACTTATCCATTCCCTGGTAGTCCAGTGGTCTCCCTCACTGGTGGTCCAGTAGGCTTGAAGTGTCAGAGCTTTGCTGTGGTAAATCATGACAATGCTCTGATTGGCCGGAGCTCACTGACAGCTGCTTTACAGTCTGCAGCTCTGCACCCAGCAGAGCTGTAGACTGGAGACTGTGTTGGGCTCTCCCTCCTCCATGCCGACTGGCTCTCCTGGGCTCTACCTCCTCCGTGCCGACCGACTCTCCTGGGCTCTTCCTCCTCCATGCCCTATACATGTTTTGCATGCCGCCTGAAATCCTTTGGAAGGCCACAAGCGGCCCGTGGCCCATATGTTGTGCAGGTCTGATCTAGATTCTGCAAGCATCTAAGACGGCGCCTCATCGGTGAGGTTATATAGTGTGCATGAGTATTGCATGCTGGTAGTGCTGTAGTGCCTATTTTGACCAGCCTACCCATTTATTGGGTTTGGCTGTTTGAAATTCGACTGGCATTAAATCCAGCTTACATTTAATAAACAAACAAACCAACAGACTCAAAAAAGTTGCTAATTATTGACTGTTGTCGTTTAATATAATTACATCGAGGCCATAATCTGGTTGTACTTTTCCAAGGCACTGATTTTAATATTTTTTATAAGATTTTATATTAAATATTGTAAATATTATTTTCAAACTATTAAAATATAAAGTATCAATTATATTAAATATATCAAAAAGTATCAATCACATGTAGTGGATGCAGTGTGTTTATTATTTTTAAAAGTTTACCCAAAAAGTTTAAATGATTAATGGCTTTAATATTTGTAAATACAGGAAATTCTGTACTCACCTTCCTGTATCTTCACTATTATTTCCTCCTTTATATCATTGAACCACCCTGGGTTCTCCACACGGCAGCAGTATATTCCGGCATCACTGGAAGTTACCTTGCTGATAGTCAGGGACACATCCCCCTGCGCTATGTTCCCCAGTAATTGGGATCTCTCACATTTATTCCAGGTCACTTTCAGGCCATCAGTTTTGATGATCTCATTGTTACATTTGAAAGATGGGCAGCTTCCACGTCCCCAGCACATGGTGGTGGTTCTTCCATTTGCAGAGTAATTGCATGGTAAGGTCACAGTATCTCCCACAGATCCTGTAACGAATGCAGCTGATCCCGAGCAGGCTATCAAAACATAAAAAAAATACTTTGATTATTTAACTTTTTCAATACACAATAAATTCAAATTAGTCAAGATTTATTACTTATATTTTCCTGGCACTGCAGGTCCCCTCTCCCTCCCACCCCCCAATCCCCGGTTGCTAAAGGGGTGAAAACCCCTTCAATAACCTACCAGAGGCAGCGATATGTCCCATGTCGCTGCTTCTTCTTCCGCCGCCGCTCCTCCTCTGTATTATGCCGCGCATGCGCATTTGAGCTCCCCATAGGAAAGCATTGAAAATGCTTTTCAATGCTTTCCTATGGGGAATTGAGCGACACTGGAGGTCCTCACACAGCGTGAGGACATCCAGTGACGCTCTAGCACAGGTTTTCTGTGCTATGATGCAGGATGTGCCCTCTAGTGGCTGTCTAGTAGATAGTGGCTGCGTAAACGTCTGGATGCCGGATATACACCCCTGACCACCATTACCAACACTCTGTCACATATCCACCCCCCCCAGCTCAGACCTAGTGGGATGAGCGACCACAGATAACAAATTTTCCCGTGACAAACTGTCAGCATTTCCATGTTTAGAGCCAGGCCTATGTTCGACTGTAAAATGAAAAGGTTGCAAACTGAGGAACAACCTTGTCACCCTGGCATTATTATCATTGTGTTGACTCATCCAGGTTAAGGGAGCATGGTCTGTGACCAACCTAAATTTTCTGCCCAGCAGATAATATTTTAGTGAGTCTAAGGACCATTTTATGGCAAGGCATTCTTTCTCCACGCCAGATATGGGGTATATTGGCGTTGTTGGCAGGCTTATGCAATGTATGATCATATAATGTAACTAAATCCCCATTATTTTTATATATAGTACTTAGTTATTTCTCCTCTTCTTTTGCCTATCATATCTTGTCTTGTTTTATTTTGTATTTCCAGTCCATGTTTAGTCCTATCCTGCCCCTGTTTAGTTAATGTTCCCTTATGTATTGTGTACATGTTCTGGGTTTAGCTTCCTATCCTTCTCTGGTTCTGGGTTCTACTAGTTTTGTCTTGTTTTCATGTTTGGTGACTATCCTAGCCTTGCCTTGTTTCTGTACTGGATACATTCCTGCTGCAGAGCCTCCCTATTCAGCTCCTCGGAGGTCTACTTCCTAGCTTCAAATTCCTGGGATCCGCTGTAGCTGCATCAGGGTTCTGGGATGTGGCTGCACAAACGCTGGTGCTCAACACCAGGGGGCGTGTGGTTACCCTGCACCAGGCCCTGATGATTAACTTCCACGGTGAAGACTCCCAACTTCTCATCAGGCACTCAGGGGTCCCGGTTTTCGTACCGCCACACGTAACACTATGAGGATTCAAAATCCTACCAATCAGTCTTTGAAAAGTGGCAGGGGCCCCATGTAACCCAAATGGTAGCACCTTGTATTGGAATAATCCCCCTGATCTCAAAAAAAGCTGTCTTTTCTTTTGCTCTGTCTGTAAGAGGTACTTGCCAATAACCTTTTGTCAGGTCCAAAGTAGTCAGGTACCAAGCCTTACCCAGTCTCTCTATTAGTTCATCAACCCTAGGCATTGGATAAGCATCAAACCTGGACACACTATTTAACTTATGAAAATCATTACAAAATCTTAACAAGCCATCAGGTTTTGGCACCAATACTATAGGGCTGTTCCACTCGCTTTGGTGATTCCTCAATAATATCAAGATCTAACATTTTCTTAATTTCAGCAGATACAGCCTCTTTCTGTGCTTCTGGAATTCTGTATGGTTTAAGACTTATCTTCACTCCTGGTTCTGTAACAATATCATGCTTGATAATGTTAGTCCTTCCTGGAACTACAGAAAATACATGCTTGTTTCCACCAATAAAGTCCCTTACTTCCTGTTTCTGGTGGGGAGATAGTGTGTCTGGTATGCTTACTTCAAGTTCACTACCAGTACTATTAATGACAATTGAAGTAGTTAAGACCTCTCTATCCTTCCAGGGTTTTTGTAAATTTATATGATAGATTTGCTCAGGTTTTCTCCTATTGGGTTGTCTCTATAATTAATTTCCCCAACTT